CTTTTAGATTTCTTGACTCATYAGGATGAGTCCATCATCTATCCTGAAATTTTTGTACTTTTATGTTTAAGCCTAAAAAAGCAACCCACAAAAGTCAGTTTTCTCAAGTGCTGAGCATGTACCCCACCCCACAGACCCTGTTAATAACCCTCCATGTAAAGGGTTGTCAAGCACTGGAACAGGCTGCCCAGGGAAMTTGTGGAGTCACCATCTCTGGAGATATTTYGGTGCTTAGAGACATGGTTTAGTGRTGAATTTGGCAGTGTTAGGTTTCCATTTGGACTCTGATCTTATAAGGCTTTTCAAACGAAATTATTGATTCTGCGATTTTGAATTTATCCTGGTGCATATGAGTTGTGTTTTTCTCCTCTCATTTATCAAGAAGCTTTTAGTCATCTTTTGTAGTCACACATGATTGCAATCAGTAGCAGAGTCTGGTTATTCAGCTCACAGAAGTAATAATAATCTAAGATAGCTTTCATAACAGGTATTATATCAGCAGGAAGAGAAGGAAATGCCATTTATCATCTATAAAATAATGCTGGGCCTGCATACAACATTCTTACTTAAACATTTAAGAGTTCAGTTTATCTGTGCTTCTAAGCAACAAAATCCTCATGTTGGGGGCACAAAATATAGAGGAAAAGCTACCCTACTGTCAAAATAAAAGATCCAGATTTATGGCCACCTGAAGATAAGTAAATTAGGAGTTCAGCTCTATACYCTCTAGAATCAAAGACAGACAAAGGTTTTTCTAAAGGTTAAGTCAAACTACATAACTTCAATTTTTATCCAGAATTATGCAAGTAAGACTTCATACCATTACATTCCCAATCCATCATCTTCATTCTGATTTTTTCTTAGSAGCTGCAATCCCAACACCGTGACAGAGGAAGGACATGGTTTCCCTGATGAGTACCTCCAGCCCTAAAACCACCCATCAAAATATCTCCATGAATGCAAATGTGTGAGATTATCTTGAAGAAAAGCAGCTGAAAGGCTGCTTCTATTCAGAATGTCACATATCCCACATAAATGAACTCTGATCAATTAAACAGCTCATTCACACTGTTTGTCTCTGCAGACCACAAAGGAACAGCTGGGACTCAGGAATCATCACCTGCACACTTCTTCCATCATGCCCCCAACATATGGTGCAAGGCACGGRCACCAAGAGCAGGGAAGGACAACCAAAGGACAGCAGAGCCCTGGAAACAAACCTAGAGAGTTGCATTTAATTTCTGGGCATGTTCAGTGTTCTCTCACTTCAAAAATCAACAATCCTGTGACAGACAGGTGATATTTATGGTCATTTGGAAGGAGAGCCGGGAGAATGACACCTCCTGTAGGAAACTGTAGGCATTTCAAGGAGTAGATACAGGCCATGAAGTCCCTTGTAAAGAAATACCTTTCTAGGCGTGCATTAGATATTTGTGTTAAAACCTGGGGAAGAGGGAAGCAGCTAGAAAGGCTCAGGAAAGTACAGAAGGTGCTCAAAAGTTGTTTTAATATAAACAGATACAGCTGGTACAAAAACCCAAAATGGATAAAAAAGCCATCTGTGAGTAAATGTAGACCAGAAATTAGAGAATGTTTTTAGCCAGCAGAGCAATGGGATTATAAAACTGCCTTCTGTGAGGAGCAAAACAAAACTTAGTTTTCATCAGATTTTGTTCAATCTCTGAGAGGGATCATAGGGGAGCATTATTTATGAAAGCAAGGTATGAGGAACCCAGAAGAGACCCTTCACACTCCAGCATGCTGGGAGTTGGCCTTGATTCCTAAAATTCAGTGCACAAACCAAGCCTCTGGCTCCTGGACTGCTTACACACATACACAGATCCYAAAGATGTTAATACCAAGAGGGATAATGTTATTATCCTGCATTTGTGCTGGCTTCTTTGCTAATCTGAGGAGCTGCTAATCAACAGCTGTAGAAGAATCTTTATTAAATCCTATTAAACTGAGTGGGCCAAGCAGMAAAGAAGACCTGTGATCTTTGCTGTCCACGACAGAATTTACAATAGTGYATTTCCTTTGCACGAGTTTATTAGGCATTCTTCTGCTCAACCCTACAGTTATTCTCACTCTGGAATAAAAAAACAATTGCAAGCACAGCTAAAAATTAGCCTTCATTTTACTTGCTCTATTGCGTGAGGGTTACATGTGATGGAAAGCACCTACTTCAAAATCCCTTCCTTAATATTTTCCTGTAGTGCAAGCATGGGCCAAAYGTGTCCTTACAGCTTGTGCTCTCTGTCAGAAAGCTCAATAAAAAGAGAAATTTATACACCTGGAGTTGTAAGTAATTRCTTCCCTTTTCCTGACTCTAGTAGCCTGAATTGATCCAATGGCTTGTGAGAATCTCATGTTAAAATTTCACTGCAGCACAATGTATAATTTAACACATTGGCATAATAACAACATGCCTTTCCTAGTTTCTTGCCATTCAGAGGTTAAACAGCTAAATAAATGAAGATGTTTTGATATCAGGATACTCCAGGCTCACAGGATCTGATGATAGGAAGGACATAAACAGAGCAATTTTRGCCATTTGGGTCCAGTCCAAATCCTGCAAACCATAATGCAAAACAAGCCCCAAACAATGATTTTTTAGATCTTCACTGGAAAGAGACAAGATGTCACTTGACCAAATAAATAAAAACTCCCTAAATTTTTCAGAAAATAGTGCCAAGCTCACTGCCCCAGTTAGCCATGCGTAAGCCCATGAGAAAAGGAATGTCCCTCTCTGCAGTTTTCTTGGAGACARGCTGTGTCTGGTTGAAGACCCCTGTCACCCCATGCCATCCTCTCTGCACCCCTGAGGCCCACAAAGTGACGCACCAACAATTCCCACCAACAGCGGGGAATTTTTGCCTGCATCCTAAAAGCCAACAGGAAGCTCCTGTACCTTGGCATGGCATGGGAATCTACTTTTGGATAAAATRGATACTTGGGAAGAGAAAAGCATTAAAGAAAACAGGAAAAAGCTCTGCTCTGGCTACTACTAAGTCACAAATTATCCGCTCAAACTCATGTTAGCTAGGTGAAGCCTGATGCCTGTCTTTGTTGAGAGCAAATTCCGTTCAAGTTTGGCCTCTAAGGTATGCCACAAGTATTTCCTTTGCCATCCTTACCACTATTGTTTGTTGCTAGTTCCTTCCKCGCATCATCACTGAAATGGGCAATAAAGGTTTCCAAAGCCACAGCCATGCAACAAACTTCTGTGCTTGAGGAAATGAAGGAGCCCATGCCAGTTAAAAATAAAAAGGCAGAGTTGACACAAACAAGCAACCTCCAAAACACTTYTTTAATGTAGATAATTAAGAACATAAGGTATTAGGGGAGATTGGTAAACAAAGTAGCAAAGGAACAAGCTAAATTCACAAAACCAACCAAAATAAAAGCAGACCCTTACAGATTACTGGAAATAAACTTAAAGGAATAATCCTATACCCCTTTGTTACCAGACAAAGCAAGCTTAAACAACCTCTTCAACTCCAGAAGCGTCTCCAAGGCTTGTTAGCCTAATTAGGCACATATTTTATCACTTTCTCTGCCTGCCTTGAAAATCCCAAACAGCTGAGGCAGGAGGGTTGATTTCTACTTAAAGCCCTTCACACCTCTTTACTCTCTGAAATTTAGCCTGCAAGGGTTCAGYTTTCGAGGGCTCTGGGCTTTTTCTTCGTAGTGTGGCTGCTACTCTRTGCACAAACAAGGTAACTAACAATAGTCTCTGAAATAACAARCTGCTTGATTTTTTTAAATTAAGGCTTATTACAGTTAATAAAGTAGCTTAGGAAGTAGTTTTAGTTGTAAAGTAACAARTTTCAAAGCCTGACTCCAAATTTACATTTATCTTTGTAGTGTCTMTAAAAAGTGTGTTCAGACAATACAAACTCTTCTTTTTACCCATGTTTTAAATGAATTGTACTATAATTTATATAAGTTATTGCGTGTGTGTTAAGAGGAAGTATTCAAGTGTTAGTTTTAGATTTTAAAACTATTAATGATGGTGAATTCTGTGTCAACAATAATTTAATATATGTATGTATGAAAAGAATGAAATATTTCTGTTAGAAGTGWTCTACAATATAGTACTTAAAAATGTAGTTGCGTTGAGACTTATCTGTAAGGTGTCCCTACCCATAGCTTGGGTTAGAAGTAAGTGATCTTTGAGGTCCCTTTCAATCTAAWCYATTCTGTGCTTCTATGAAATGACTYATTCTATACATCTGTGACTGTATMATCRATTTGTGTGGRGCTWGCCTAACTCATYAGGTGCAGCTGYATAATAAGGCAGCCAGGAATTAAACTGGTATCTCTTATTCACCATCAGCAAAATGTAACCTACAAAATAATGGCTAGTAAAGCTACCAGCCTGCCCATGACTCTCTTCCCTGACACAAACATTTTGTTTTGTGAGGTGCCAGAAGTAAATTACAAAGTCCGTGCTTCAGGATATGTAGAGAGGAGTCCACAGCTGTAAAGGGAGCAATGCAGGACAAGAAATCTCCAAAGGGCACTTTAATGTTAGAGGCAGTGGTCAACTCTTGCTCTTGTTGTCTGAGGACAAAATACCCCGTTTCTCTGCTTTCAGTACCTYGATGCTCACAGAGGAGTATCAATTAAAAAGCAGTTTTCTTGCCATGAGGGCTTCTGTCAGAGACCCCAAAGCTCAGACGGCCTCAGTCCCAGGTCAGAAAGTTAATATAGCAATCACATTGTTTTAATGCTTCTCCTGACCTTATCACACTTTAAACCAGGACTGTCGTGATGTTTTATGGAAACCGTCATTGACTTCTATTGAAGCAGATACTGTGCTGCTATTTTTAAGGCTGGCTGTGGTTAAGAGGCAAGAGCGATCGGTAGATGTGTTGCTTTCCAACTGACATAACGGTATTATTTGGTATTTTTTTATCGGCGAGCGCCTTGAGGCACCCGCAGCGACAGTCCCATTCGTCCCTCAGGACGACAGCCCACCCCGCCTCACGGCCGCCATGGCGCCCGCCCCGCCCCCGCCGCCTTCCCGCCCCCGCAGCGCCATGGCGGCCGTGCGGGACGTGGAGATCGACCCTGAGGGCACCTTCAAGTACATCCTGGTGCGGCTGCAGCGCCCGGGCGGCGGGGAGCAGCGGGACATCGTCCGCGGCACGGCGGCGGCCGAGTTCCACAGTGCGTGGCAGGGCGCGGGGCGAGCGGGCGGTGCCGGAGCGGGGCCCCCCGGCTGTGTCTGGTCTGAGGCGGAGCGGGAGCCCTGGCCTCAGTAGATCAAAATACCCCGCTTTCTACCTCACCCGTGTGACAATGATGCCCAACAATATAAGCTTTTTAGAAATAAAACCCCATAGAGCGGTGTCTACAGAGCAGGTGGTTACTGCAGCGCTGGAGGTGACGGGGATCCTGCCACCTAACTCACTCAGCTTTGTCAAGTGTTGTGGCTTATTTATGCAATAAGTATTGTTTAATATTGCTAAGTCAGCATAACATCATTATATACGTGTCTGGGACTAATTTATGTATGGTTATCTCATGTTTATAAATAGTTTCTCTGTACTGTGCTTGCACTTCCCCAATTTAGGTGGTCTTGGGGGTCTTCTTCAATAAAGGCTCAAGGCTTTCCTCACATCTAAAYTTTTAAATTTTTCCTTCGGCAAATGCACAGTTACAGTGTTCCTTGGGTTTTCTGGATCTTACCGGTCTAAATTCTTCATTTTGTGGCTAATTGGCTTTACATTTGCCAATTTCTCATTGGTACACCTTGCTGTTTCCCAATTAGCTATGCCTACCTATTTTTGAGGTTATCTACTTGGTGAGTTTTTGCTTACTTAAACATTAAGCAACTAGTCAACTACATTTGGCTATTACATTTTATAGAAAGTTATGATTCAGKTTATACAAGTATTAAAAGTTACAATTCAGGTTATATAAGTATCAAAAATCTATAATTCAGGTYACATTGGTATTTTATAAATCMAGCTATATAAGGATCTTCTTTGACCCAAGTTATGTAGGCATCAATGTGAAAAGTGGGCCATTATCCCTGTCAGGTGCCATTTCTGAACCTGATCATCCTTATTTRGGAGAATGATATGTGATAAGTAAACAACTAAAGAACCTCAACTACAGCTTTTCTATGCCTCTGAAGAGAAATATCCTTCTCATGTAGGTGAAAGAACAGAACTGGGGGAAAATAAGTAGAAAATAGCTGAAAACAACAGTTCTAGATTACTTGATGCTTAGCCCCTGTTCTAATGGCTCTCACCGTTCTTCTTGTGCAGATCATATATTTGAAAAAGTAAATCCYGAGATGGAAAAGCTGGGGTACGAGTGCAAGTGCCTTGGAGGAGGGAAAATTGAACATAATAGCAAAGACAAGAAAATTAGGGTATTTGGGCTCTCTACAGTAAGTGCATGTCTTATTTTCCTTCAATTGTTCTGTCTCTGATGTTCTGGGATTTTTGGTTTCTAGGATGGTGGCTTTTGGCAATTTGCATCACATTGTAAATGTTAACTGGAAAACTTGCCTAGCTCACTTGTGAAATAGATTAGAAAAACAATAGTTTTAAGGCAGGAGACCAGAAAGATAAAGTTAGTATTACTCAGCAGTAGGTTAAGTTAGAATTAAGACTAAAAATGGAAGTTGGCATCTCTTGCCTCAGAATCTTTTAGTCCTATTGCTGGAGCAGGAATARCCCACCTGTAGCCACAGGGGCTTGATCCAGCTATTGTATAATCTTTTATCTGCCAATAAAAATGTTGGTTGGTAGTCACCAGCTAAATTGTGAATGTTGTTCTGTGTATGTGTTGGGTGAGAATAGTAGACACAGTTTAAATGGGGTGAATTTTTAGTAGGTGAAGTTGTAGAAATGCATTTTGTGGCAATAAAAGTAGCATTTCTGTTACCTCTTATTGTTCCGTTTAAATTCAGTTTCTTTCAGAAAGGCTCATAATGGCCAGGATTTCTCTAATTTAGGGAAMATGCTTTTTCTGGTATTSRTCAGTGATGAAGCATAGCTGTTTCWGTAKTAATAACTGAGKAAAGATTCTGGGYTTCTAAAGGAGAAAAGTAGTAAATARTTCTATTAAGTTTATTAATTCTCTATGGAAAGTGATGGTTACTTCAAATCTGCTTACCTTAGATGAGCAGTGAAAGCTGGGCCTTGAAGGTATTTGATGTTTTATGGAAAGCAGAGAAATAGTCACTGACTTCTTTTCAAGCTGTGCTGCTMTTTGCAAGACTGTTTGGGGGCTTCAAAGTGGTTGCCAAGGCAAGAGTGAGCTCTACATCCATTGCTTTCCAACTGACATAACAATATTATTTACTATTYTTGAAAAGCTTGCATTTTATAATGCATCAACTTTAACCTTTTCAGTTTAAATGCTTGTTTATTTAAGCTGTTCCTCTTTGGGGCTGAGTCATTGATGAATAAGAGTATGTTTTGTTTGAAAATACAACCTTGAGCTTTTTTTTTTTCAGTCTAAGTAACCTTTCATGTGAAATATTAGGGGGAAAAAATAATCTGCAAATCAGATTTATGTCAGTACACTGCACTGTTGTGCAGTAGAGGCWTTTTCACAGGGAAAAAGTTGTAAAACTTGTAGTTCTGAAATAAGAAACCGAGATAACTCTGATCATGTAAGACAGTAATGGAAAGGCAACTTCTACCAGAACTGCCTGAAATTTCAGTGAAAGAGTAACACTGATCAATGATTTTTAAATGAGGGTTAAAAATTACATGGGTTATCTGACCTTGCCTTAGTTTGGACTTGCAATGACTGAAGAGCACAGATGCTTAAAATGGTGCCATTACCAGCTAAGGCAAGATTGGAAATAAATAAAACGTTAAGACTGTGATTTCTTTAGTAGGTAGAATGGTGCTCAAATGATCACACTTGTTTGCTTATTCTCTTTTCCTTCAGCTGAGCCAAAACAGCTGTTTGTATGCTCACACTTTAAAGTGGGTCAAGGCAATCTCTGTGGTTTAAAAGAACATTCAATAAATATGCTGGCTGAGGGGTTGGGAACATTTTAAAATAAGCTTTCTGCTGGAGAAGTCATGTGAAAAATGTGTTCTCTATTACTTGAGATTTCTTGACTCCATCTTATTTATTTTCTAGAATTTGAATTTGGGGGGGAATTTGAGAGGATAATAGAAAAATAAAACATGATASTGCAAGCATAACTTTAAAACTTGTATCCAATTTGTATGTGAACAACTTGTGTTGACAAGAACTGATTGGTTCTGATGACTTACTGTCCATATCCAGTAAACATTTGTTCTGTCTTGCAGGGCTATGGAAAAGCAGATCAYTCTGTGACTGTAGAGATACTGAAGAAAGAGTATACAGATTATGAAATTACATGGTCAGATGACAAGAAATAAACTGACTAATCGTGAACACAACAAGCAGTTCAAAACTGGTAACTGTAAGCYGTACTTTGGTAAATAAAACTGAATGTTTCTCTGTATGTAACCATAAATGTGGAGTAACTGGACTCTGCCATCATTTATAATACAGTTGGTAATCCCCAGATACATCTTATTTTTTAGATCATTCCTTTGTGCAGCATCTGAAGTTCTRACCCTTTTTGCTCTGTTTGATGTGCCCTTTAATTAAACACTCCCACACCATCTTACCTCTGGTTTATTTTCATCCAGTTCCCATTTCAGTGACATACTTTAGGATACCTCAGGCTTTACCATCAACTTCAAACACCACTGGACCAAACCTGTTGACTGTTTTTTTGATGGCAGYRTTTTCAGTTTCCTTTATTTTTCTGTTACTTTTTTAGGCTTCTCMTCTTTCTTAACCACATTTACAAAAATTGGTKTGGGGGRATGGACTTTTACARGTTCTTTACCAATGATYCAAATCTTTGTTTACTCYATGGTCTTGAAAATTCAGTATTTTTGTTCTACAGAAGTAACACAGGAGTAATCAAAATATTTCATGTTCCTGCAAAATTCTTGCCTATAGCAGACTGATGGCAATGTCAAATTCTACCAGTGCTTCTTTCATTCTGATTGCCCTGTACTACTTTTATTTGTGTGAAGAGTGATGCTTTTTTCCTTTTTATTTTTAATAGCAATAATTATGTTATAGTAAACTATTTCCTCAGTATACCTAGGCAGTGTCTGAATTAACTTGCATCACCTGCTTGCTCCTGGTGTGGCAGGATGTTGCYCTTTGTTGTGGATTTACTTGCCACAATTTTCACTTTGTTTCCYGATAGTTTTCCTTCAATTCATATGTGGATTTATTGACTTGCTGTCTTGAAGACTTGCTGACTTCAAGAGGTATTTGTATATAAATTATAGTTTTTTGCTGTGGTTCCTATTCACCCACCAGTACCTGCTGGTCTAGAGCAGCTTTTTCTTTTCAATGTGCAAATGACTCTTACAGTACAAACCAGGAAATGTGAGAGACTTTAGTCCAGTTTCTGTTCCAGAAATCCTGCTGTTACTGCCTTAAGCTGTGTGACAACTGCAATAAGTCACCTTTCTACACCTGGCTGTGTTTTGTTTGGGTGGAGAGGATATTTCTGTTCTCATCTTCAAACCTTTTAGTCCAGTCCACATTAGAAGAATTCCAGGGGTGTCCAACCCCATATGGGAGCAGAATCTCTTGAACCTGGTGCTGCAGGTCTCTTGGTTGGCACCTCCGTCCCCCCACACTTGCAGTCTGGATTTCTCCTTCCAGCACCTTTGCCTGCTTTTGCATCTGCTTTTTGTGCTTCTCTTTGAATTCCTGTGCAGTGGTTGTCTGGCTGCACCACTTCAAATAYCCATTGTAATGATTGCAGGCTTGATTTTGCTTAACAAGATTTTGATTTCAGAATATGATTTAATGCCTGTGTGCATAATAACCAAGAATAGCATGCAGGTCAGTAACCTGCAAACTGGGCACTTTCCAATTCCATTATCATGGGCTTTTTTCCCCACTAAGCTTTAGTAAATGACTGTAATTGCCAGTATACAAACTTGGGTTTTAAATAGCCTCGTTTCCCAAAACTAGCAAATGGTCTTCCAATGGAAGTCAGCAGTTAATGTTAATACCTGGTAAAACAAACAAGCCTTTGAATTTTGTTTCCTGAGCTATTTAATGAGTGATTTTAATCTTTGTCTCCACAATACTTACAGGAAAGACATAATTTAGACCGGATTTCTTATTGTAATAACTTGTTCAAAATGTGAGGTGACGGCGTGAGGGGAGAAAAAAGGTGATGATTTGGAGCTGATCAAAACTGAGTTACCAGCTGATCTCTACTTTTTATTTCTTCATAGATTAAAAAAAATGTAATGTATTATCAAAAAAAAAAAAATTTGAGGGACCTTCCAATTGTGGTTTGTTTTTTTTTTTTTTTTAGTGCAGTGCATTTGGGGAAATGCCAATTCCATTAAGTAATATGTACAAGTGTTACAAAAGAATGAAATTTATTTTTTTTTCTATTCCAGTTTATGAAGAGAAGCAGGACACTGCACAGTAGGATGGTGAGGATTTCTCAGGTAGAGAAAGTCCTAATGGAGCTTAGGGAAATTAATATTATTTGAAGTTGAAACACCAACAGTCTTTTTTGGTTCCTCAATGTGTAGTCAGCGGTACTTCAGTAAGTCAGTCAGTGCAGAAAAATTCCAAAGCACAGTGACAGTCATGGCAAAACTGACTTTTTTCCTCCCTCTCCTCTGCTATAAGAGGTCCAAATCAGTAGTTTCCAAAGGATCCCTTTAAAATAGTCTGGAACAATAGTTAAGGCTCTTCTGTAAAGTACGGGAAATCCTTTACAACTCTATCTTAATAGCAGCAGGGTCAAAATAGGAACCATGGGCTAGACTTTCAGCATCTTCAGTGATGGAAATGTGATGCAATAATTGAAGTAATTTAGATCACTGCTGTAATAAGTTTTTTTCCCATCCCCTCAGACTGTTGTTGTCCCTTCTCCCCTACACTGAGTATCCTTGCACCCAGTTTACTGCAGTGATTGACTCTCAAAGTTTATATTTCTGCAAGGGCACCTGATGAAGCAGTGCATGATGACAAGAGCTGTGTATTAGCTTGTTATCTGGTTTTTGCCAAGAGAAAACGTGCAGTGGATTTCCTTACTTTGTTTGAATTGCAGGTGACAATGAGCACTCAAGACCAGGTTTTGTAGTTCTTTGGGTTTGTTTGTGTATTTGGTAAGTGATGTTGCTGAAGAAACTGCCTGTCTTCAGCCTAGGGAAGAAGAATGCCCTGTATTGCAGGCTTTGTCCTGCCAAAAAGATTGAAGAGGKGTGGTTGCTCAGTAGTACTCCCAGCAAGTTTTGAAAAAGGGGCGATTAATGTCTGGAACAACCTTGTTAAAACTGTACAGCAATCTAATTAAACTCCTATAATAGCATTTCCTTCTCCTAAAGTTCAATTCTATCATYCTCCAGTATTTCATTTGTAGGCTTATTGGTTGGTTGGTATAAGGAGCTTATCTTGTGTAGAATATTTTCCACATCAGCTTCCAAACTGGCAAGGCATTTTCTAATGCCTTGCCGAAATTTTCTTAGTCTGTGTCAGAATCTGAATGTGAAAATTCACAGACCACAGTAGTAAATATTCTGTTRCACTTTTTGAAAGGCTTGAATAAATCATTTCACATGGACTCAAGATTCCCCAGGAGGATAGAACACAAGCAATAAATACAATCACATCCCCCTCTGCTGGCAAAGTAGCAAAGCTCAGAGGTGTGTGGTCTGCCTGAATCTGGCTGCAGTTATACTGCCCAACCCTTGAGAAAGTTTAGCATCCAAAATTAGTTCAAGAGGCTATGTCATTCAGCCACAGCACACCATGGTCACTGCTGTGCCATGTCATTCCTCTGATGTACAGTTCTGGTGCTGACAAAGAATGTAAAACGTGCCTGGAGACAATGACATGTTTCATCTTTAAATACATCTAAATTACAATTAATTATCATGAACAAATGCTGCTTTAACAGAACTCTATGCAAAGTCAACATCAGAAAAGTCCCTCACTTCTAGTCAGACATCAGAATTTGTCAAACATTTCAACAACTAGCATCATTSATTTGTCAAACCAGAATAAGAGAGGAAAAAGCAAAGAGATGTAAGGATTAAAACACTTTTGAGTTAGTTTTGAAGGATTAGGAGTTTAATTTGAACAGGAATCTTTAAAGGCAATTTCCATAATGCATCGCTGCAGCCCCTGATCAATTGTTTTAACTATACTGGTTCTAAACACGTTTTTCTCTTCAATGAATTTCTCAAAGAGGTATGTACCACCACCAACTCCAAAATAATGCACTTTGCTTGCCAAATAGACAYGGCCATTTTTATCCAAGAGCTGAGCCAATGTATCATGCAAAGCACTGTAATAGTCAGGATTATAGATTGTCTCAGAGGTGAGAATTATATCATACTTTGGAAAGGCTTTGGTGCTGCTTAATAGGAGCTGGCTGACTTGAGACCACTCTCCAGAAAAAAATCTGCACTTGTTGAGCATGTCAGGTGAGCCCTCTGATTTCCTAGGCCTCTTTGAAGGAGGTTTGCTGGCTTTTCTGTCCTTTCCACTGCCCATCTTACTGCCATYATCGATACAGTTGGCCACCACATTAGGCAAGGTTATTTCATCAATCACTGTGCTGTTGTAGTCCTGAAAATGGACACTGTCAGCTTTACCCCTTAAAGCAACAATTCCCAGGAGTCCAGCCCCACAGCCAAGATCCAATACAGTCTTGTTGGTAAATTCTATTTCAGCCTTGGAAAAGTAGTCTATGAGATCAAAGGTGCATTCCCAGATTTTCAKCCCTCCTTCATAGACTCCTGGGATGAGATCAGAGTGAGAAGAAACACTTTTGGACACGATGCCTTCGCTGTCAGCATCACCCAAACACGTCATTTCTACCACGGACAACTTTACGTGAGACAGGTCCAATACCTTTTCCAAGACTTTATTTTCCAATACTTTGTTGAGATCTTCAGGAATACTGTGCTCCTTGGCAGCTTTCACACAGAGCTTTTTCTTTGAAGTCACCTCATCCTGGTGCTTATTAACACCCGGCCTTGGGCTGGACTCTGCTGCAAGACTGGCAGTTTCCCTGCTCTTTTCTGTGAATTCCTGCTTGTGATTTGGAGAGCGCAGCAGTAAGAAGTCAGCATCTGCCTCGCTGTTCTCACTTTCATCAACAGCAAAATTAAATTGAAAATCCATTTTCAGGAGTAACAGTTTAAAAAAGTCGCAATATATTACAGACAGCAACACTCATTTAAGACCAAGACTGGTACCAAGGTGGGTGTTTTTTCTTTTGTTTTTGATGGGGTTGCTCTTTTCGTAGAGGATGCTCTTATGTAGCTATTGCTATGGGTAAGAGCATTTTGCTGGTGGAATATCAAATGTTTTGCCAAGAGCCTGGTGAATTACTGCTGAAAATAGAAGTAGTTTTATGTATCATTAACAGTAGCACAAACCGTCTAATTRCACCACCCTGATTTTCATTACCAGGCTCCCCCAGGAGATCGTGGAGTCTCCCTCCCTGGAAACATTCCACATCCATCGGGATGCGTCCCTGTGCCACCTACTCCAGGTGATTCTTGGCCAGCGGGGGTGGACCGGATGATTTCTAGAGCTCCATTCCAACCCTAAATCTTCTGTGATTAAAAAAAAAAAAAAAACCCGCTATCTATCCATTTACATTTATGAAAACACAGCGTTACCCSGTGACCGCATCTCCCTATAGGTACCGGTAAGGGAGGTAGAATAGTTGTTAAACCCCGCGTTTCCGACTCAGCGTTTGAAGCGGCGCAAACCCAAGGCGCGGGGCGGCCCCGCTGCCCTTCCCCGCGCCCCCACAGGCCGGGTGCGGCGCTCGGGATCCCTTCCATCCCGTTTTCCCTGCCCGTGCCCGTACCCACCCGCGGCTGCCGGCCGGGACCGCGCTCCGCTTCTCCACGTGGAGCCGCTTCCGCTTCCTCGGGCGCGGGGCCTTGTGGGAGCGCGGGGCGCCTTTCCCGCCGCCGCCCCGTGCTGAGGGGAGCGCGGCCGCCGCCATGTCCCAGACAGACCCCGAGCTGCTCCTGCCGGAGCTGGGCGSCTGGGACTGGGAGCTGTGCCGCCAGAAGCTGCCCACTGTTCTGCCCGGGCTCCTTATATCCTTCCCGGCAGGGCTCTTGGGTGGCTGCGGGAAGGCGCAGGAGTAGTGAGGGGGTGTGGGGGGCTGTGCGCATCCTTCAGAGTTCCGCGGTTCAATCAAATCTGTGTGAGGGAAAGCCATGGGACCTTTATGAGCGGCCGACACTGAATAGAAAAGCTGGGGGCAGGAAATTTCGCTGGAGACGGGTACAGTCCTTGCCTGAAATGAAAGACTCGTGATAGAAGATAGCGTGTGGTTCATTTAGCACTGTAGGTACCTCCCCAAAACCCCTCACCTCCGTCTCCCCGATCCTCAAACAAAAATCCAAAGCTCCTTAAAAATCCAAAACCACACACCACCAAAAAAAATAAAAAGTCCTCAAGGGTTACTCTAATACATTTTAGAAATACTTTTCTCATCCTGTGGGTACTTCGGGATATCAGCCTGCATTGGTAACGGAGCGTCCCTGCCAATTTCATATGTATATGAGCCAGAGTGAGAGAAGTCACTGGCTTCTGCAGCTTCTTTAAAGATAACCTTTGTCGCGTAACAAGTTTTATTTTCTTTAACTGTTTTACTCAGTGTATCAAAAGTCTGAAGACTGGACCGAGCACATTCGTAAGTAATGGCTARCAAGTGCCTCTTGTTGTGGAGCCTTGTACTGCAATTACATTGTAATCACTGCGGTACTTAAAATGCTTCTGCCACAGCCAGGGACTTTCTGAGTATACAGCAATCCTGCTGGCCCACATTCTCCTTACTGCACCTTGAACAAGCTTTATAAAAGCCCCTATAGAAGCTTTGCATGTAAGGCTGCTTTTTCTTTCCTGCTACTGCTGATTTTTAAGTACATGAAAGAAGAGTGCTTTTTGTCTTGTGTTTTACTCTCTTCTTGGCTGTTTGCTTCCAGGTGGTAAAATTGACAGTGGTAAGAAAATGAGGCCTAGATGTAACTGTTCGGGAATTTTACTAAAACTCACTGATACATTGTATATTAGTGCAAACCAGCGCATTAAACATGCAACTGTTTGCAGTTTGCAAGATAGAATATTTGGAATATAGAAAAATATTAGATCTGTAGGCTTGCAGTTGTGCTCAGTCCTTAACTAAGTTTAGTCAGGTGCACTGCTATTTTTGATAGGTTTATGCATGATGGAGCTGTTACAGTTAGTTGATTTTTCAGATAATGCATGTGTGTTTTCATGCATTTCAGATAAGGCAAATACTCTGTTGCCTCTCTCAAAATCAAGTATCTGATCTTGTTTTGCTTTCTGCAGTTCTTTATTTCCTCTGGTAGGTTGCTGTATATTTCTTGTAATCACACATTGTAAATGTTTTTCTTTGCAGGTGTTTTGAGGATCCTGACTGAAATGTTTTTGCCCCATATCAGCCTTGAAGATTTGGAGCAAACTTTTTTCTCGAAAGTGTTACCCAAGGTAGGACAGCTTCAGTTAACTGTGGAATTGTCAATCATTCCAGTGCTAACGTCTGCTTAGAATACAGTAATTCTTCCTTTGAGCTTGCACAATGTAATTATTCTATGGGATACAAAATTTGAAATTGGAATTTTACCCTTTAAGAGTTTTCACAGTGTTGTGTTGAACTGTCTTTGTGATCGTTCATATATATATGATATTTTTTTGCCTCTTGTTCTATCATGCTTTATAAYTGAAATGCTGGAAAGTGTTTTCTCCTGCGAGTTCTCTCTGTAGCCTGTGCCTCCATGCCAAGGAAGCAAGCAGGTGTATGAATGGTGTTATTATTTGCACATGTACTTTTGTAAATTAAATGTTTAAGTTTTGTTTCATTCTGACAGACTCTACAGTTCTTTGATAATTTGATGTGTGAATTGTCCAGTGAGGCCAAAGGACTGACCARCCAGAGTACAGAGTTATGCTCTACTGTAAGGAAACTGCTACAGGCAAGTTCCATCACACAAGCTGTCAAAATAATGTTTACACCATTCTTTGCTTTTCCCTAAACTATTAAAAGGTTTTTAGAATGTTTATGCTAGCTATTGATGGTTAAAATGTAATTTAACCTTCCTTTATAGTTGAWGTTCAGTTAACATGTTGTGAATTATTTGATTACATCTAGCATGTGATGTTAATGATAACTTAAAAAGTCATCTCAGATTCTGCTTAAGTCCCTATTTCAGRTGAAATGTGATTTCTCACATTTGAAGAGTGAATCTGTCACCTGTTTATACCGTCACTTCGTTCTGAGTTTAAAAGTTTTTGTAAATTGAGAGCAGTAGTCAAAGAAATAAGTTTTCACAGAGTATAACAGAGAAAAGCTCTGGAATTACTCAATGTTATTTTATGGAGCTTCATACATCTTTAACAAACTAATTTATGCAAATAGCAGTGAACTTTAAATGCCATAAAAGTGCAGGTGCAATTCAGCTAAAAAAAGATGCTTTTGCAGTTATTGCAGGAGTGATTGGTGTTGTTGATTCTTGCTCTCAGGCCATGGTGCAGCTGCTGGAGACTCTGACGGGCTGTGTGCGCTATGTGTGCTCGCTGCAGGAGTGTGTGTCCCTGCAGAGCATCCGCTCCCTCCCTTCCTCCGTCCTCCATGTCATAAAGAGCACCTTCACACATTGCAAGGTAGGGCTCTGCTAGAAGCACAGAAGTACTTACGCTCTCTGGCTGTAAGGAAACCCTTTATAAGGTGATCCCTCTCTTAGGAAACCCTTTATAAGGTGATCCTATTTTGAAATAATACTGATGTTGAATTATTACTTTAATTTAGTTGGTAAATTGTTTATAAATCCATTCAGTGCACAAGTACAAAGATGATTTTTCAGCTGTCTGCCCAGCAAATCTGACCTGGTGGTKAGGGGCTCAGACTGGGCTATTTCCATATTTTGCATCTGTTTACTGAACATTTTGTTCATGAATAGAGTGCTCTAAGAGATCTGTGCACTTGTGATGGCTGCAGTAATTTCAGAGCTTACCAGCATGGTGTGACCCATCTTATTTTTATGAAGTTCCAGRGTAGACTGAAAGTTGAGAGGAGCATTTTCACTTTTGTTACAGTGAGTAGTGTGTATCTGCATTTTCAGATGCAAACAGTAATTCCTTCTAAGGATTGATAATAAAATACGTTCGTCGTAAGGACACACTAACTTTTGGATGTCTTTCCTTTTCACATTTGGTTTCTTTCTTGTGGGAACATTTATATCAGTTTTCCATGTAAGGACTCAAACTAAGGTGCCATACATTTATCTAGCAATTCTAATATGAAAGTACTGGGAAGTATTYGGAATGCTACTTCCTTTGTTGCTACCATAGTCCTGTTTGGTTCAGAAATATGATCTTAGGTTTGTACATGGGGCCCTAATCCAGAGCCCCCAAACTCACAAGRGCCAGACAGCCCTCATTAGTTCACAAGCTGCAGGTGAATGCATTTTACATTGAGTAGTCAGGGACTGTGTATTGAATTAAAGTACCTACAGCTCTGCCTTGTTCTTTTYTCCAGAGAAATGTATGGCAAGGCTYTTGGTGTTTTCAGCATGTGAAAAATCAGTCTGTGAGTTCTGAAGTCTTTTATAAACCTCATCCTCCCCATTTCAGGACAGTGAATCAGTGTACTGTGGGCACCTGCACTTAATTTCTGACCTCCTACAAKCCATGTTCAAGGAAACTTACTCCCTTCAGAAACAGCTGATGGAACTTGTTGATCTGATTTCCATAGGCTCTGCTTCCACTGAAGATGACATCATTTATATGGTGCAAGGTATATGTGGATTTAGCACTTTTTTAGTCTTGCTCAGTCTTTTTTTCTATGGAGAGTATGTTTGAAACTTTAAAACAAGTTTCTGAGTGTGCTCTATTCCTGCTACCCTGACCATTCTTTCAGAAAGCAGCATTTTGAAGCTTGAAATATTTCCGTTTTTCTCCTGAAGCTTCCTCTGTGGCATGGGGCATGTTATGTAKGTTTGTATGAAAGGGGCAGCACCTAAAGGCTGAGCCATTTTCCCARTTTGTGTCAATGTGCTGTTATTCCCTTAGTATTCTCTTGGGATTCCTGTGAACTCATAAATGGGATGTAACTTTGTTGCTGCTGCTATTTTTTCCTTAGTAATCCACACTGTGCTGGAGATCTGCTCTGTCATTTCCAATATGGACCACGCTCTTCATGCCAATACATGGAAGTTCATAATCAAGTATGTAGCTCAACTTGGATTTTATTGTGGTGTAATCAAAAATAGTGAATTTATTTAACTTATGAATTATTATGAATGAATAAACAATTGCTTTGTGTTTAGGGTTTCAAATAAAATGGAAAGTAGGGATTCAATGTAGCTCTTTAGTAAGTGAATTTAGAAATTCAATTTAGAAAATTAGCTAGGAGGTAGTATTAAAGCAGTGCCAGTGAAAGTAGATAAGAATTGGTGTGAAAAGTATCAGAAACTTGACTTTTTGTATTGCAGTGCAGAAGAAAATTTGAAACAGTGTTGTCTGAATAAGTAATTTTTAGAGGTCTGTCCTGCAATTTTGTAGATGTTTTTGGCTTGAGTTGGCTGTCTTGTACTTCTGTCCTGCCTCTTCTTGTGTTTCAGTCATGGCAATGGAGAGGGTTGTTCTCCGTGAGTTTCTGCTTTCATTGTACACAGATATTGTACCAATCACTGCTGTATGACAGTTTAAATGGAAGAATTTGTTATTTGGATTTGTAATAACTGATTGCATGATCACTTCTGACAATTAAATATCTGATTCTATTCTTATCTTTCAGGCAAAGCCTGAAGCATCACTCCCTGCTGCAGTGCCACCTGAAACACAGTGACATTCTTGGTGGCCTGTGCAAGGACACTCTTCTTTCTTTTGACTCCTGTTTGCAGCTGGCTGAGCAAATGAAGGTGTCAGAGATACAGGTGAATTAAAAAGCTCTCAAAGCTGCCARTGAACTTGAAGAGGATAAATTCTTTTGCTGTGTTATTGCTTGGAGTAATTTGGTTTGTGTTTTTTGGGTTTTCTTTATTCAAGTGGTAGACAGAATACCTTTGAAACCACATGAATGTGAGCCCCATAACTTGTGTAGACAGTGAGGCACT